CATTGCTCCCGCATCGCTCCATGCAATGCTTCTCTCGGCTCCCGCAGTATCAGACTTAGATCGTCCAAAAATAACTAAAAATTCTGAACACAGGCAATGCTTACGCTTTCAAGCAACTCTTTAGTTCCAGAGATTTGTGTGAAGTTCCTATTGGCTCAGGCTTTGAGGTCATCGAAAGTCAAGCTGGGCCAAATGTGCCAGACGAAAAAATACTTTCATGAACTAACTTGTGATGTCTTACGTTACATTAATCGATATTTGAATAGTCTTGACGAACGTTATTCAGCACCATTTGTCTCGTTGTGGTATCATCCTTATCTCTTGAGACAACAGGGGTCCATACACCCAGGGTTCGGTCGGTATGAAGCGAACTGGGATACCATAGCTCCCATCACTGATAAGTTTCTAACGGCATATGATTCGACGAGCGAGAGGCAAGGCGCCGATGCTCCGCACACACAGCACCCACAGTTTCCAAGATAAGGAGGGCCAAAACACAACACTTTTATCCCGAAAACAAGAAGTGATAGGTTTTTCCTATCACGGGCCGCTCCCACTAATATGTGTTGCAACTGAACTGAAGGGGCTTGGCGTGGTCCATCCAGTACTATTGTCAGCTTGGCGTGGTCCATCCGGTACTACTGTCAGCTTGGCGTGGTCCATCCGGTACTACTGTCAGCTTGGCGTGGTCCATCCGGTACTACTGTCAGCTTGGCGTGGTCCATCCGGTACTACTGTCAGCTTGGCGTGGTCCATCCGGTACTACTGTCAGCTTGGCGTGGTCCATCCGGTACTACTGTCAGCTTGGCGTGGTCCATCCGGTACTACTGTCAGCTTGGCGTGGTCCATCCAGTACTACTGTCAGCTTGGCTCCAGCAACTGAGAGTCCTAGCCTGGCTTCAGCACCTGAGAGCTCTAGTTTGGCTCCAGCAAATGAAAGCTCTAGCTTGGCTCCAGCAACTGAGAGTTCTAGCTTGGCTCCAGCAACTGAGAGTTCTAGCTTGACTCCAGCAACTGAGTTCCAGCTTGGCTCCAGCACGACTGGCTTTAGAGCTGGCACATGACCTGCGAGACTCCCGTGACCGACAAACGTGTAGGAGCAAATCATATTTTTAGGTGGGTTGAACGAAACGTAGCACAATTACCCAGGTAAGTTTGGGCTAACAGAAGAAGGAATTCTGCTAGCTTTCTGAGCTTTCTTTTAAATGTATTTGCTCAATTTAAAACCAGTCCCGCCCACGTAGAAATCAGCCGTGTGTTGCTTTACATGCTCGTAAATAAAGTATGTGGTCAGCCTAAAAAGTGTTTGTACACAATACAACTACCAGTAGCGTATAGCAAGCGACCGATCCAACGAATGGCTGATTGGCTGTTGCGACACAGTGCATTATGAAAATGCAAGGAAGCTATGACCGTCGATGAATTATAAAAATGCAGGCTATATACACGGTCCACTGTATGGCTATTGTTGTTCTTTGCTTTTCAATGTTCTCTCAAGATATTGGTCCAGTGCACACATGATCTATAATGTTTTAAGTAATTCCTGAAAATAAATGACACAAAAACGCCGTTTACTCTTCTTTTTGTGGGAAAAATCGTTAGCATGACGACGCATAAGCACCATTGACAGGAAATCAATTTGACACGGGGGCTGCAACTGGACAAACGAATTGGCTAACACGCCTAGGATTAAAAAGGTCATGTGTAACTCCGCATTCTGCAGCGTGGAGGTATTTGCTGTACAACAAGAAAGGCGTTTCTTGGTGAGTCAGGTGTGCGAATCCGTCCGAAAACCTTCGGCAAGCTGTTCGTTCAACCAACCCGTCCGACTCAGCTGAGCGCAAGGGAAACCAGAATCGGGCAGCACGTCACGTCATCCACCAGCGCCAGCGTGGCGAGCTCCGAGGAGCGGTCTGCGGCCGGCCTGTGTCATGGGCTACCGATGGCGCCGGCGCGTGCCCAACGAGTCCTGGCCGCTCTGGTCGGCACGGTTTCACTTTTCACACGAGCGCGTCTCAGCGGCGGCGGGCGGACCCGTTGACACCAGAGTGGTGCTGCCACGGCCGGTGGGGGAAAGGGTTGCCGCCCGACGCATAGACGGCTACAGGAATGAGTGTTCGGCCCGGGCTCTGACTGCAGCCATGCCACGAAGCGCTAGCTAAAACGGAGCGGCGAAGCCATTGGTCGAGGCTGACGAACAGGCTCACCTTTTATGATGCCAGCCACAGTAAGAAAAAAACAACCAGATACACAAGCGCGCGATACTTTTACTGTACGTGCAGGTAAATGTTCCGAACTGCACAGGTTTAGTGATGGCGAGCTACGGCACATTCTGAAAATAAGTGCACAGCGCAGAACGGTGGGTTGACACCGACTCGACGCAGTAGCGGCGCCAAAGAAGAGAAAGACGAAGGCGTCATCGCCGCGACTGCGACAGTAGCCGGCTGCCCACAACGGCATCTGAGAAATCCAGATGCACCGTCCCGCTTGGTCGCCCACAGGATGACACGCTATCGGCCGGTCGGCCATGATGGGGACACGTTCGCCGCTGCGCGCGCTCGTCCCGGCCGGCGCCGCGCGGCCTGAGCCAGTTTGGGCGGAGCGCAGCTGTTGTGCCGTGGCCGACTTCCTCGATCTTGGCCGGTGGCGCTGTCGTAATCGGACGCTGTCCCGAGCGGCGGCCGTTGCGCCATGCGCCACCGCTGGTGCCCCGAGCAGCGGCGCAGGCCTTGGTACAGGAGAGTGCCGGACGAGCGGCGGCCCCGTGACCTCAGCGTAACCCAGCGTGACCGGCCGTGACCCGCGGGCCACGAGCGCGATGTTACGTTCGGGGCCGGCCTGCAGCGCTGCCTAACCACCAGATACGGTCCCGGAGGCCATCCGTGCACGGTTGGACCTTGGGCTCCAGAAGGCAAAGACGACCTCCGATGCTCGACGACGATCTCCGAGACTGCTCTGGGATGCTCTGCCAGTTATTCAAGATATGGATACATGATGCACATCGTATTTTCTCTTGGCTTCGCTCCCACATGTCAGGTTAGCAGTCAGAGGAACTTGCAGTATCCGCATCAGTTCAGACCAGACTCGGGACAAAACAAAACCGACCGCTATCTGGATTTTCGACCGTCGAATTGCGAGAGTGTCGGCGTACTTTCGGGCGTGGTGTGTGACGACATACATAGACACGCCAGAAGCCATTTCATCTACACAGTGAGCTTTATCAAGTGAGGAACACCTCACATAACGCTGATCCGACACGGTTGAGTTCAGCCGCTAGGAGTAAGCCCGGAAAGACCTGCAAAAATATGGTTGGAAAGGCCTGCAGTCTATCATCTGCAGCACTCCGTTACAAAAACATCTCCTGACAACCGATGTTGCAACTTTGACTCGATTTCTGTCTGGGGTGCGCCCCACAATCACGCTTCACCGCCAGTGCCCCGGGCACACATGGAGGCGGATCAGAAGAATCCAGTCGCTTGAGATGCGAATGCTTTGCGTCGTGGGGTCGTAAAGTCCCGGGAGGAAACTGAAGAGGACCAGGTCGGAAGGGGCTCGCCAAAACCACACATAAGTTATCGGTGAAGTTTGATACATGACACATTAGCACAATGCCAAAGTACAACCACGTTCTACTGCACGGGCTCGTTGTTTGATTTTAGCGCAAATCAGTGCCCCGACAGTGCGGAGGCAGGCGTGTGCCACGATGCGGCGTTGCGTAACCAAAGGAGAAAAGGCTTGCAGTTCAGTGCTGATAGCGGGAGTGCGTTGCTGTGTGAATGAATGCATGATTTCACACCACACATGCATTTGAGGCATTAATTGCAGAAAAAGCATAGTGAAAAGAAAGATTCTCGCAACCTGAATTTGACACTGTTTGCGTGTCAGTGCCTGCCGGCCGCAAATAAACTACGTTGTGAATAAGAAGAGTTGTGAAAAATGCAGTACTTTCTGTTGCATGTGCACAATGCCTTCGATAACACCATATGTTCTTGTAACTAGCCGCTTTATTATCAGCTGAGCTGTGGGTATTTGCAAAACGTTCGTCTCAATTGCTTGCACACCGCACGTTGAGTGCTTCTCCACACAAGCCACTGCAGCAGTCAATAACAAAGCAGTATATGACATCCCAGTGCGAAAGACGCATCCAATCATAGCGCATGTGCAAGTGAAGCGCGTCTGAGTTGCACTGTCTTTATCATGTAGACAAGATTCCACTGCCACGAGATCGTGTTTTTGTTTGGGAAATTGTGCCCGGGCCTGATTTCATCACGCGCGGTTGCCGTGAAGGTCAGTTCCCTGTCGCCCTTCACCGGCATGAACTTCTCTTTACGGTTCCACATTTTTCCGCTTTTTGGTGCCGTATCACGAGCTGGGGCCCGCCGCTTACAGGCGCCGGCCGGAGCAAATACCATCGTCTGCAAAGCCACATGAACAGTCGCGTTATGAGCCCAGTCTCAGATGAATACCTTACGAGTGAATCTCTTCCCGCAAGTGCCGATGAATGCAGAAAAAGGATGGAGCGCCCACACTGAGCACGAGCCTCCTTACGGCTGTTTTCGTCTTCGGCCAGTGCGTGATTGATGCTTATAACCTCGTATCGGTGTTTGCATAGCCCGGCTTATCGCATGCCGTTGATCCGCAGTGTTTCCATACACATACACGTCAACACAGCGGTGCGTGTGAGTTTCCGCACGCACGCCGCATGCCGTCTACGAGGTGATCAGCAGTATCCGAAGCGTGTCATTTAAGGTCTCGAATACTAGGTCTTGGTGGTAGGCCCCTCGCCACAGCATGAGCGTTTTGCATGATAGTTGAATGCTGAAGGGGACATCTTTTTTCTGTGCTTTGAGCCAGGTTGTGTCAGTAATACACACAAGGTCTACTCGCGGATTTCTCGCGTGCATGCACATTGCATAAGTATGATATTCTGAAGGTGGCCAGTCGCAAAAGTTGCATTGAAAGTGAATCAACCGCTCATGCAGCAGACCAGCTGTGTTTACCTGTGTCGAAGCCCATGGCCGTCTTCTTTTTACATTGGTACCCTCTCCCAGGCCAACGGGAGCCAAAGGGCACGGCACGGCTAAGCACTGGCTTGAAGCTTTCCTCGTTCTCCAAAAATCTTCTTGTTTTCACAAGCACTCAGACATCACTCGGACCGGGCCTCTCCCCGATTTCGTGAGGAGAAACCAGGCGGCCGCTCACTCCCCGCCCGTGCCGCCTGCTCCCGATATCGGGGACAACTGCATCACCATGCAGACCTGGCCCACCTGGCCCGACATCTGGCGGCAGTTCCTCCAACTACTGCCAGCGAAAGCGAATCGTGGCCCGCGCTGGCCGGCGCCATCCGGCTCGCGCCTGGCTCGCGGGCGGCCGCCCGCTGCAAGTGCAGCGCGGCCACATCGGACGACCAGTTACGGCCTCGGTTTCATCGCGGCGGGCGGCGAATGCAGTGAGATGTTCGCACGTATCAGGCGTGAGAATAATGATGTGCAATACTGCGCTTTCTTTTCGTATTCCAGTGGAGCGTGCCGGGAGGGGTGCAGTTTTTCGTGGGCTGAACTTCCAGAATTCAGATCAGCGTACTCCTTCCACCTGGAATCCAACCTGGCAGGAAGTTCTAAGTGCGATCCGGTCCTATTCATCCAGTAGCGCAGGCAAAAGGAGCGGGTGGCACATGGGGCACGTGTCCCTCTTGTGCTCCGAGGGGCTCTTCAGGCCCCTCGAGGCCTACGATAAGGGCCTATTTGAGGGCCCAAAGAGCCCGAAAGACCGGCCGGAGGTTGTATTCAGGGGCCCCTGAGTCGATAAGGGCTATATGTCGGCCAGACACCACCAGCTACGCTTAGTCGGCTCCGTGGCGACATGGGCCTGAGGGCCCACTTCCCAAGCAAGAATAAAGCTGAACGCAGCGATTTACATTGGTCGGGCGGCCCATAGCGCCTAGCGGGGTCCTGTGCCAAAATAGGATTCCAAAACGGTCAGAAGCAGTGTTCGAGGAGGCCCGAAGAGCCTGAAAGACCCGCCGCGTCCGGTGATCAAGGGCTCGATTAGAGAGTCTAAGGGCACGGAAGGCTGGTCGGTGTCTTATTTAGGGGCCCCAGTCTGCGGGGACGTGCCCTCAAATGACAGTCAGAGGGCGCTCTGCGCCCATCAAGGACAACCTGGTTCCATGTACATGCGTTCATATATCTGTCAGGCACCACCAGTGCCACACAGTCCGCTCCGTATCTGTACGGACCAGAATATCCACATCCAAATCAGCTCCAAAGTCGGGGCCAGTGATTTACACTGGATAAAACCACTGCATCTGTCAGGGGCCCGTAGCACCTAACAGAGGGTCCTGGGCTCCAAGGAGCATATAGCCGACCAAGGACAGCGTTCGATGAGACCCGAAGAGGGGCCCGGGTGACCCAACGGAACCAGGTATCAAAGGCCCGGTTGAAAGACTTTAAGACCCGAAAGACTGGCTGTAGGTCACATAAAGAATCGTGGTCCGGAGTGTTGTGACCTGAAATATCACTCAAAGGTCCTCTTGCACCGTTTGAAGAACCTCTGAGGCAACTCGGGTGTCTAAGTCGGGCAGAGGCCACGAACGCCGAGCAGCTGACTCTCTCACAGTCTGAACCCCAAAGGTCCATTTTCCAAGCAGGAGCAAGGCCGTCGGCCGCGATTTGCATTGGTCTGGGCGGCCACAGACCTTGTTTTAGGAGACAAGAAGATGGACCGAAGGGCGCCTCAGGACCAGCGATTAAGAGCCCGACTGGACTCGGGCCTGGCCTTCTCCCCCCCCCCCCCCCGTAATACCATGACCTGAAGTGTCAGTCAGGGGGCTTTTGTTAGAGCCTTGTGTTGGGCCTCGTGTGTTGGTCAGGGGTCACAGTGCCTATCAGGGATTGTGTGGCGGCCAGTGGCGTATCGAGTTCAATGACGTCTGACGTATCGAGTTCAATTCAGAGGCTTCAGTCCTGAACTCGGTAATTGGTGAAAAATATTGATTTTGCTGTCGTTCATTGGCATGCACCCGTTTTTTGTGTATTTTATTCTCAAATGGATACACACTGTATCGTAGAAATGGCTGAAACTGGCTCCGTATTGTGTAGATAGATTGATAAAGCCTTCCTTTTTGTCTGGGAGGACGATAGATCCACCACAAAGGTTAATGAACTTCCTTAAGGTTCTCTTGTTTCGTGACAATCTCAGTAGACTGGACCAGATGCTTACGCTCCTTTTTGATCGGGGATCAAAGACTACTATCAATATCTAATTCATGACATTGTCTTGTCAGCTTCCTCACCTGTGCGCTTCGTGGTGATCCTTGCTGTACTTTTTCTTCCAACTGCCTTCTTACGAGAGCCAAACGATACTCTTTCGTGAAGGGCTGTTACCTAGCTGCTTGGTCATGCAGTTCAACATTGGCATACATAGGTAGCAAACTGTACTCTACACAAGGGGTAAAATACCTTGGCGCAGGTACATTTAATAAGCTTTTCTGCACTTACTCTAGATTTCTGGTGATGGTTGTCTACTGATCATATAGACTGAAAAGTAGCTCGCCGTTGTTTGGCATCTATTGATTGCAATAATTTTTTGGAACTACATACTCTATCTTCAAAGGTGCATACATACAGCATACAAGTGATGAATATCTGATTATATATTAAAGTTAGGCATAACCAGTAAGCTGTAACAATTATGCATCGTCGACTTCAGTTAAATCGTCAAGTTGTGTACGCTAAATTAGGCGGTTGTCGTTTTTTGGGGAGCCGAAGAATTCAAACGACATAACACGTGTTTAATAGTAAGATATACTATCTACGATGGATGATATCGATCGTCCCCAAATGAGGTGAGGAGTGACCGAGGGGTTGGTTTGCTTGTTTAATTCCGATGCTGATGTTTTGATGGTGATAGCTTGCAGAGCATACACTTCCCCTCTTTTGATGGTGATGTTACGATCGTGGTGTTTCTGGTGAGGCCTTCTCGGGTGATGTTCCGCCCATGTTCTTTCCGCACGTGCTCTTTTGGAGCAACGTCAGCCAAGCGCATCGTCAACCGCCTTGAAAGTGTGGTGGTAGTCACACCTACGTAGTTTGATTGCTTTAGGAGTCCGCGATCTCCTATGTCACAAAGATATTGGTAAACGATGCTGGTTCGTTTCAAGGGGTGAGAGTTGGCTGTGAGCTTCCTGTTTTTGTGGTAGATGGTGAGCGTTAGCTGGTCGTCCTGGCTGACTGGCTTGACGTTTTTGGATCTCATTTTCTTGAGGATAACTTCGTCTCTCCAATGATAATCGGACATTTGATTCTGATAGAACAGCTTGACCGGTTTGGGCTGATGTCTGATGGCGTCAGTTTTTGTCTGGCATCCTGGCATAAGGCTGCTCGTTTTATGGTTGATGACACTGTTGGAACAGCCATTATTTACTAGGACTTGTTTGATGCACTGCAGCTCACTGTGTAGCTGCCTCCAATCAGAACATACTTTCAAGGCTCTTCGAAGGCAGGAGCGCACTACACTAATCCTGTACCGGTCGGGATGTTCGCTTGTGGCACTGAGGAATCGTACAGCATCTGTTGGCCTTTTGTGCACTGTTGTCACGAATCGTTATCCGTTAGCAGCGATGACTATGTCTAAAAATGGAGTGTGGTTATTGACGTTTAGTTCGTACGTGATTAAAGAACTGAAGCTTGTTCCACTGCATTTTTTAGCTCGATCAGTTGGCTTTCATCACCGCCACCGGCGCGGTCACCATGTTCTGGACAGGATAGGATGTGGACTATGACGCAGCGACTGGTGAACATTTCATGCTGATCGGTTCCAAAGGCTCGGACCGTGGGGGTGTTTGTATACTCTTTTCCGGTTTTGGCATTCTTGGTGACATTCGAGCTGACAATAGATTGACATATTGTAGAAATAATATAATTTCGACCATTGCACACCGATTGGAGAATGTTTTGTGTCGGTTGATCCCCTATGCTCTAAGCATGGGGCTGTCTGCAGCCAATTTTGGCAGTTTGTGGCGTTTTTGGTGAAATTTAGCCAGGCTTAACACGCGCTCGGGTGGGGGTCAAATTGACCCCCCAAAGGTTTTTCCCAAATGGTTTTCGAACAGCGGGGCATAGTCACGCCAAATTTTGCATAGCTGTAGACAATTGAATAGCAGATCGTTTGAGATTAAAAAAATAGATGTACCTTGTAAGGTCGCTAACGTATGGCAGGTCAAAGTCAGGCTATGTTCTCAGCGAAGCCATTTCTAGGGAATCGTTCAATCTGATGTAGCAATGGAGTGTTAGACGAGGCCATACATCTCTGAGATGCTTTCTTAGGAAACAAAAATAATGAATGAGCAAATTATGTTGACCTACGGTCAGGCATGAAGGTCAGACCAAGGTCATAACCAGACTGTTTTATTACTCTAGGGCCTGCTGTATGGGATAGTTTCTGGTCCTCTTTTCGAATTTATTGATAGCAGGAACCGCATTATACACTTTCCATGAACTTCTTAGAGGTTTGAATAGGTCATTGACCTAAATTGAACCAGGTGAACGTTTTGTTTTTAGAAACATACTACCTGGCGTTATCTTTACTCTAGGGCTTGTTGCATGAGATAGTTTCTGGTGCTCATTTCGAATTAATTGATAGCGGGAACCGCATTATACACCTTCCATGGACTTCTTAGAGGTCAGAATAGGTCATTGACGTAAAATGACCTAGGTCAACATGTTGTTTTTAGAAACATGCTGCCCAACGTTATCTTTGTCGCTTATTCAAATGCGAAACTCAGAGCGGTCTTCCATGATATTGGTCACAATGACTTTCAAAGGGTGAAACAAGGTCACTGACCTCAGATGAGCCTGCTACCTTTTGCTTAGAAACAGTTATCTAGGTTCTGGGGGCACTTTGGAGACCAGCCTGGAATTTGACCTTGTTTGAGCTTATTTGATCCGAAGGTCATGACCTAGGAACCTCAAACTTTGACCTCAGTGAGTTCACGTACAGGTAAACACACCCTGTAAATTTTGTGTCTCTAGGTTTCTTAGTTCCCGAGATCCCAGATGGGTCAAATTGACTCCCTACCCGAGCGAAGGGTATCTAGCCGGCCACCCGGGCGCGTGTTAATGGCACCATGTGTTCTGGAAAGGATAAGCTACTGACTATGGCACATTGACTGGTGAGTGTTTAGTGTCGATCGGTCCCTGGAGCTCGGAGCATGAGACTATGCAAATTACCTTCAGTTGGTGTTTGCCGTTCTTGGTGACCTTTGACTAGACCCAAGCTCGCCGTATTCTGGAAAAGATGAATTGTTGACTTTAGCACATCGTTTGGTGAAGTTTTCATGCTGATCGGTACCACAAGCCCGAGCATGGGGTTGTCTTTAATCCTTTTCCCTGTTTTTTATCGTATTTTTGGAGAGCTTTGGCCATACTTAAGGTCACCATGCTCCAAACGTAACGGGTTATCGACCAATGTTGAAGATTGCGTCGAATATTGAAAATTTCATGTCGATCGGTGCCCTAAGCTGCGAGCCTAGGCTGCCAACAGGCTTGGTCGCCGCTTAGACCCCGCCTTTCATACGGCCTTGGACCGGCGCCAGAGACCGACACAAAAGCCGCGGCAGAGGCCCGGAGAGGCTGGCAGAGGCCGTGGGGGGTGGACTTCACGGGCGGGTGTCGTTCGTAGTCGTGTTTTATTTCTGGTTGGTGTCTCGCTTGGGTAGACTGGATCCCTAAGTTACATAAAGTGTCATGCGCACTTACAGATACCGGAAACAATCGTACCATCATGTAGCAGAGTGCACCTTTGAATAACTAAGTTCCAATCGTCGGTAAAAACCATGGGACGAACCCATTTTTGTAAATACCTAAATCTAAGTGATATATTGTTGGAGTATACCGTTGTAGGACACTACTTATAACATCATAATGCCTAATGATTCTATTGTACTATGCCATTTGCATAACCATATGACTATTGCAATATTTTGTGCTGGTCACCAGTAGGAGTGTTGCAGTCAGCCAGTGATTGTGATAAGAAGCGTTGTCACCATGGTCAGGGGTGGCCACCAGTGGTCCAACATACCCTCAAAGCACACTAGACACATGTTTTTTTCTTGGAGTTGATATGCTGTCAGTAAATGCTGAGCTGCAGGCTGCTGTGGTCCTCAACAAAGCAGCAAGCTACATGCATTAATTGTCCTGGCTGAAGAACACTGGTAATAAATACAACTGTTCAATGCTAATGATTTAATGGTATTTGCCCACAAGATGGCATGCTTAAATGATGACACATTCAGCATGCAGTTGGGATATCAGGTCACAGGTAGTTGGGTGAATGCCAATAAATTGCACTAGCAGTGATGGGGCAATGATTGGTTTACAGAAATTGGGTGTATGTCTGCAGGGATATGATGTTATGGCTTTGGTTTAGGGCAAGTTTGCGGGTAGAGTTGGGTATTGGAGTTGTTTAAGGCTGGATTGGGTTGGTATTTAAGTAACGATGGTTTATTTTTTATCTATTTGCATCGTGGGCATCTTCAGGCTTGTTCTTTGTCTTGTCGGGCTTCTTATGTGAATGTTATTTGGTTGGTTTTTGTGTATCAGCTATAAAAGCTATTGGTGGCACTGGCTGGCCTTGACTGTATAGCAGGTGTGCTGGGAGGCTGGGTGGAGCAGATGATGCAATGGCTGCTGTATTGCCATTATTGCACCATGTTTTACCCAAATAGAACTGTTTTGCATGGTGAAGAGGCCAGTTTATGATCATGGAAAGCACTGAATGTTAATTTCCTTTTAGGTGCAGCTCTGGGCTGCAGTTTTGTGTAGGGCTGACCCAAGAAAAAATTTCATACTGAAATCTTTGAACCATTTGCAACCTATGTGATGCCTACACCAGCAATGTGTTGCATGATAGGGAAACCTTGCCTCCAATCTTTCCCATGCATGCCGGTTGTGCTTACATAAAACCAACCATGCTTAAGTATTAAGCAACAACAGGTGTGTGCAGCATTATTCTTTGATGCAATGGGTTGTGTGATCTCAGACATGTATCATTCAATAAACACCTGGTTCCCAGTTTGGTGCTAAAAAAACTGTCTCTAACATGGACCATGCAACACTATGGTGTGATCAGTTGGCAATTGTACCCTTTGCCTAAAATTTGTTCAGTTCTTTTAGTATTATGTTGTATTATGGGGGTAATATAGCATATGGGCGCTGCTTTCAGGTTGTCTACACCCACCGGAGGGCGTGGCCATGCCCGGGCGACGATTCGTCGGTTTCGATGTGGCATCTGACAGTGATGTGTCGCCCTGCTGGCGGTGGCTGCCACTGCTGACCTATGTGCTGCTGATGCTGTTGAGCATGGCTGCCTCACGGGCGGTGGGTACCACGGTGGGCCACTTCCACGGTCAGTGCCCACTGTACGCGGTACCGCGCGTCAGCGCCTTCGACGGCGTCAACGTGACGCTCAACGAGCGGGCGTCCGACCCGGGCCGCTCCAGCTGGGGCGACGCGCACGTCTGCGACATGGCTGAGTTCTTCCCCATCTTCGTCATCATCTTCTCCGCGTCCTGGTTCTTCTTCTTCTGCATGTGCGGCAAAGGTGGCAAAGGCTCGGCGGAAGGGTGGGTGCCATTCAGCTTCGGTAATGCTACCTTGAATTGTACGAGACCACGCGCTTTGGTGTTTACTTTGCTGTGCTGGATTTTAGACTGCATTTCGTTACGATCCTGGAATTATGCTTGCCTTGACTGGTGCAAATAGACTACAACTAGTGGTGCTGAATATGGGCTCCAAGGAGGCCGGACGTTGGGCCAGCTAGGTGCGGTTTTAGGTGTACACTTGTGGCATTACGTCGGGAATCGAGGCATTCTGTTCATGGCGGATAAGTGCGCGGTGACATAATACTAATGTCGGCCGTCTGTTGCAGGTTCGGCATGAACAGTCCGTGGCGCATTGTCTGTCCGGGACTGGTGTTTAACCTGGTGCTGACGCTGGCTGCGCTGGTGTGCGGCGTCTGGACGTCGGGCGGCGTGCATGTGTTCTGCCAGAGTCTGGAGCAGTCCGGCTTCGGCCTCTCGTGAGTCGGCGGCCGTTTCTGCTCACCGATGTCGGGCGTGGCAGCCGCGCTCCGTGTCTCCCCACCGCTGGCGGCTTGCACCCCTCTGTTGTTTCTCACAAAGCAAAATATGGAACTTGAGCTCCAGGAGTGACACGAAACTCAGTACGTGTATTGGATGTTTAAATAGTGACATACAGGCATGGAAAAGGCTTTTGTGTGTGTTATTTTGGCTTTTATGTCTTCCAGTTGTGCAAAACTCAACGGTCTACGGTTTCCTGAGTATCCGGAAGTATCACAGCTCCAGTTGTGGTTCACCATTGCTGAGGTCAGTAAAATTCCTGGCAAAGCCAGGAGCTTACTGTTGTAGCTTTCCGTTGTTGATCAAGCGCAGACGCGTCGAAAGCCTGCTCCACACGGTATATATTTCAGAAGGTGGTCACCAGATAGCATGTCACTTGTCTTTGCTAAGGTTGGTGCCATATTGACGTATACGTGTAGGGCTGACGATCACACACTGTCCTCTGACTCGAAACTCCGGCACCCCTGTGACAGTCGCGAAGTTTTCCCGAATGCACAGGGCCGGTTTATTGTGTGTTATAAGTTGACTTTCGTCCAGATTCGCCGTTTTTCATAACGCAGACGGGTAAGGAAAGAGGGTCCATTAGCCCCCCCCCCTCCCCTCCCCCTGCCATCTCTAAGCTGGGAATGGTTGATCCCCCCCCCCGTAAAAAGCAATGGGTTGTCATCAGCGCGATCTTGTGATTGGTTACAAGTTTTGTGCTGCTAGATTGACAATTGACCTCACTGTCAGGTCCAGCGGAAGTTTTTCTCGAAAATGTGGCTGATTAATGTTAACATGTCAATATAGACATGCTTTCTGGGAGGCCAGACAAACTAGTTAGGTTTTTTGGCCTCAACACGCGCGCAATGAACGCCTCAGAGCCTTCTGAAAATGTAAGCGGGACTGCGTGACATGCCAGAAAAGCATTCGATCAGAGCGAAGGTTAAAACGCACCCCAAAGCTGAACGCTTCATCGTCGGGTGTTCGCCTTCATCACCAGGTATGCTCCTGGCTGAGGTGCTATGGCCTGCTGTTCGTGGCCGTGTCCCTGTCACCAGATATTTTCTGGCTGGTGTTCTGCGACGCCAGTTGTGTTCCTGGCTGGTGTTCTGCGGCTTGCTGTCCATGACCGTGGCCCCCCGCCAGGTGTGTTGCTGGCTGGCGTTCTGTGGCCTGCTTTTCACGACCGTGCCCCCCCCCCCCCCACGCTAGGTGTGCTCCTGGCTGGTGTTCTGCAACCTGCTGTGGATGAACGTTCTCCCTCCCCCCGCCAGGTGTGCTCCTGGCTGGTGTTCTGCGGCCTGCTGTTCGTCACCCTGCTGCTGGCGCTGCGCTGCTGCTGGCGGCCGGACCTGACTCCGCGGTACGAGCCGTGTCGGGTCGAGGCTGGTGGTCGGCGGCCCTCCTCCGACTCGTTCGTCACGGCTGACTCGACACCGCGGCACGGCCCCGGCGGCGACGGCGCACACATCGCCGAGGCCGTCACCCCGCTCATCCACCACTCTGCTGACCAGTAGAGCTGGCTCACGCCCCACCGCACACAAGGCTCGACCCGGCTACCTGCTCCACCGTCCTGCCGACTGCGGAAGCGGGTATCTTGTCACCCGCACTCGACTTTTGTTTTGGTGCTGCACCTTTGCGAAGGCTAACTGGTTTGGCCGGTTAGTCTTCTGCGTCGGCTGTGTCGGCCAAGAGGGGGCTCCAGGCTCTGCTGGCACGAGCGAACAGGCTCAACCGCTGCTCACAGTCCCGTTCGCTCTCTGGTGGGGACGACGAAAGCGCTCATCAGCCCGCCCACCTCCCAGAGGAGCCGGGCTGCTCGTGCTCACCAATCACCAATCAGACTGCTCACTTCTGCTCAGCTCGGGCCGCTCGTTCAGATGCCTATCGGCACGGGTGCCGCAGCACCCTGGACTGTGGGCGGCGCGAGCGGCCTCCAGCGGCAAGCTGCGGTCGACGGGACCCGGCAGTCGTGCCGCCGACCTGACGGTGATTTGTCGGCATCCCCCTCGCTGGCTGTTGGGCGAGAAGGCGTCAGTGGCGACCTTGCCGGCTGTTGGGTGAGAAGGCGTCAGTGGCGGCCTCGCTGGCTGTTGGGCGAGAAGGCGTCAGTGGCGGCCTTGCTGGCTGTTGGGCGAGAAGGCGTCGGTGGCGACCGTCGCGCTTTAGAGCTTTGCCGCTGACCGCTTGCGGGCATGCTCCCGTTCAGGGTCGGCACGGGCGTCGTCGCACCAGCTGACTGCCGCCATGCCTCGGCTCATCAGCTGTCTCCGCGGGCCCAACATTCCTGTGTGAGCCGCCAATGATCGTGGCCAGCATGACGCCGCCGTCGGTGCTCGTGTCCCTCCCCTTTCCTTTCAGTGAGCTGTGTGTGATACAAATGGGCGACACCGGTCCGGTGCGCTCTGCGGAGGCGGCCCGGCTGTAACTGCTGTTCGCACACCTGCAACGGGACGAATCGTTGGAGGGGGCGCGGCGCTTCGGACGGGTGACACCGGGGTGGGTGCGCTCCGCCGCTGCTCCACTGGGTTATTGTTCCGACCGAAGTAAGCAAGCTTGCACCAGAGTTCATCTCGAGTATGGATTTGTTAGGCGGGTTTCGGTACAGCACTTGGGTGCTCATCCGTATTACCAACTATTTGTACTAATATTCGCTTTTGTATTTTCATGTTACGTGGGCGTAGAAATGTCAAAAAGGAAGAGTCCGAAGTGAAACTTGAATTCGATTTTTGCATGTATTGCCATGCGGTTAATGTCGAACATTTTCCAGTTGGCGGAGTTATGGCCCACTGCATTTGGTTTGCTTACTTTTGTGTCGTGGTAAGCATGTTTTGTAACGCATTATGCTCTGCGTATTGGAATCACTTGATGGTGAATTTACCCGGATGGCAGTCCAGTGGGCTGCGTCACGATTTTCATAAGATAAGTCACAATGAATTCAGCGAGACATCGGGCGGGGATGGGGTGTGTGTCTGGCACGTCCGCACGGGGGTGATTCGCATCAGGTGCCGGACTGGCATCCGAATGCTATGGATTTCGCGTACAATTCAGCGCTAGTTCCTGTCTGAGATAAATAATGGGCAGGTGTACTGTGAAACTGTGTCTGGAGCTCAGCTGTCGTTTGTCATTTGATGGAAAAGGTTTGAGACGCAGACGTCAGCGTAGCCGCCCGCGTCCTGGTGGCACGCGACGCTATATGGAACAGTGCTCAGTCTCATGACGGAAGGCATGTTGGCCCACGCTACTCCAGCGCTTTTCTACGTGATAATGTGAGAAACATTTTCCTAAACTACTGAGTGCATGTTCTCAGTTTACTGTAATGCAGTTAGGCGTGGACTAAACAAAACAGCGCGGAGTTATATTTTTTTCGAACTGACGGCCAGGTAATTACGAATGTCACGGGTTACAGTCACATATTTGGTGGGGAGTGGCGTGAAGCATATTTATGTATAGGCTAGAGCTGTTGCTCACGTTGTCTCAGTGCTGTCACCAGTAATATGCCGTGATGTTTGGTTTGAGGCCAATGTAATTGCTTTCTATTTCGTGCTAGTCTTGCTGTGGCATCTTTATGGCATAAGATTGATGGTGGTCTGTCCGTTTCACACGCGATACACGCGTAACCGTGATATTTTGCGCGATTGAAATGCCTACCTTAAATACACTTATTGAAAACGACTTTTTGCTGGAGATTGGTAGCCATGTATTCATGAGACGAGTGTCCATGGGATTGTCCATCGTCTATGGGATTGATCGAGCTCTGTTTTATCGCTTTCCACGTAAATGTGAGATTACTGGAACGTCGTGAGACATGCGACGGTAATGTCTTCGATAAAGAGCGTAGGTTCTAAGAAACCTGTCGTGCAACAAAGACACCATGTACTTGAGCTTCGGGGTATAAGATGCTTCTGGCTACTTCATGCGACGGCTGCGATCATTCCGGCCCTCGCGTTCAGCCCCAAAGCTTTCCAGCTATCAACAGTGTGCAGCATAACACATTCTGTATTCGTCAAGACCATGAACCAAAATGCACTGCAGAGAGCGAGCCTTCGCACGTAAAGGAGCAGGAGATAAGCACACGGAAACGACAGGGGCAATGCATTTGACAATCCACTCCCACTCATTTATCGTTGCCAGTAGAATACCAAGACCAAAGCCGAAACAGGACCAAAGACCAGGGTACATGTGGAGTCGGAGAAAGCCAGTGCATGTCTCACATTCAGACAATGGTGACCATTCTCACTCTGTATTGCCCTCGTGGTCTCATGAATGGTACTGCTAGCTGCATCTGTGGCAATTTGTGTCTTGTGACTGGTCGTTTTCCATTATTTAGGGTATATTCCACGGCCGCTGTCCTGAAATGTCATTTGATATTGATATGAGTTGAGAACATTCCTCGGCAAGTGTTGTCTGATGATGCTCAACAAAATAGCGTCCTACGCCATATAAGTTTTAGTCTAGAACTGGACGTGCTGACAATGAAACGACAATCATCGTGACCACGTGATGCGGAAAACAATATTCTCTGGTAACTTACACAAAGCGGAACTGGTGTTGAGACTTCCGCAGTTCAACATCTTGTTGCGTTTAAGAGCTAAAAGAGTCAAGCGCGAGCTCTTCCTGCCTTCAGGTTATCACTGGCGGTCGGCAATCGCCTGAGAGCACCTTGGCAGCCGGCGTCGGATGACGGTTCTGCGGAGCGAGCTTCAACGCCAGCAGCAGCGGCAGTCGTCCTGATCCGACCTCGACCGTCGGACCAGAAGCTGCTAGATGGCGTCAGTAGAGAGCCCGCCCAGCCGCGCCTCCGACCACCGGGCTGAAAATAATCAGAGTGGCCACACCACGGCCGGACAATTCTGCGGTCCTGCTTGAAGAGAGGAGGGGAGGAAGTCTTGCAGGCGGTGCCTCCAAGGCGGGGCTGCGCTGGTGGGTACGGCCGGTGCCGGTCACGTCTCACCATCGCTCTGTTCACTTGGGGCCGGCGATTGTAGTGCAGACCAGCAGCACGCCAACCGCCCCCAGCATTCCTGAGCAGGGAAGACACGTCAGAACTCCACCAGCGCTGAGAGTGTCGTCTCGCACGCAGATCAGCATCATGCCCACCGCCCCCAGCATTCCTGAGCAGGGAAGACACGTCAAAACCCCACCAGCGCCGAGAGTATCGTCTCGCACGCAGATCAGCAGCATGCGCACCGCCCCCAGCATTCCTGAGCAGGGAATACACGTCAAAACCCCACCAGCGCCGAGAGTGTCGTCTCGCACGCAGGTCAGCATCATGCCCACCGCCCCCAGCATTCCTGAGCAGGGAAGACACGTCAAAACCCCACCAGCGCCGAGAGTGTCGTCTCGCACGCAGGTCAGCATCATGCCCACCGCCCCCAGCATTCCTGAGCAGGGAAGACACGTCAGAACTCCACCAGCGCCGAGAGTGTCGTCTCGCACGCAGGTCAGCATCATGCCCACCGCCCCCAGCATTCCTGAGCAGGGAAGACACGTCAGAACTCTACCAGCGCCGAGAGTGTCGTCTCGCACGCAGGTCAGCATCATGCCCACCGCCCCCAGCATTTCTGAGCAGGGAAGACACGTCAGAACTCCACCAGCGCCGAGAGTGTCGTCTCGCACGCAGGTCAGCATCATGCCCACCGCCCCCAGCATTCCTGAGCAGGGAAGACACGTCAGAACTCCACCAGCGCCGAGAGTGTCGTCTCGCACGCAGGTCAGCATCATGCCCACCGCCCCCAGCATTCCTGAGCAGGGAAGACACGTCAGAACTCCACCAGCGCCCAGAGTGTCGTCTCGCACGTTCGCACTGACGTCATTGAGCCCTCGCTCGACGAGAGGTTGCCTGATTACGCTTTCCCAGAATACATTCACATTGACACACGTTCTTACCTTGACTGTTCATGCTCCTCGCTAACATGACCTCGAGAGGTCATGTTAGCGACATGTTACTGAGAAGTGGCTCGCGCATTCCATGCAGAAAATGGACGTCAAAGAGTTTTACTGGACCTATTTCCTTCATATTACCTCTTTGACGTGCATTTCTTTAGTTCTGACTTCAAAAATCAAGTCACCAAAGCTCACTAAAGGTCAATATTCACCTTGGCGACGATATTTTGCCTTTTGAAAGACGTGCGATTTTAATTCAAGGTGCACATATTGTGCAACTTTGGAAAGCCTTCCTGATGAGATTTCCCCCCATTGATGTGCCTTGTTTAGTTCTCTGAATGCTGGACGAGCCAATGTAAAAACAGCTTTCACCTCTTTTACCTGACCTGACATCACAGGTCGCTTCTGTCAATGCCCATTGGTTCCCTCTAATAGTTTTCCAATAACTATTCAACACCACGTTCTGCATTGTCGTGTAATCCTCAGTTTTTAAGAAAGCAGGATGGGTCTATAAAAGTGTTAAGTTGACCTCTGACTTGATTCGACTAGTCAAAAGTCACGTTCACCATTGTTCAGTAACAACTATCTGATCCAGGTTGATGACAGCTTTTCACTGCCGTTTTCTTTGTGACTCTAGCTTGCTTACTTTTTTATTGGGGAGGGGCTGTTAGCACCCTTGCAGGGCGAATGCAGGAAACACCCTTGGAATCAGAATTACATCCTACCCTTGGCCTTTAAAAGCACCACGTGGCATCGGCAGAAGCAATCGAGCAGGCTGTCCCTGCCTTTGGCTCACCGAGAAAGGCTGGCACCGCGATGCCGGTGACGTAGCCTGCGTGCCGCTTCACAATGGGTCGCAGCGTCGGCCGAGCCGTCGTGTAATCCCCCACGTATGAGCCGTTGACTGTGGGAGGGCAGGGCATGGCTGAGTCACGTCTGCTGTCCCGATGCGCCGCGCGCCCACCGCCGGCCACTTCAGCGGGTGCCGTCCTCACTGTTATTTTTTTTATAAACATTGTGTTGCTCCATCCCGGGGAATGTTTGGGTTCATCGCATCAAGACGCACCGCGCACGCTGCACGAGATGAACGACAGATGTTTAATTTTCGGTACCCTTGCGCGACAGTCTAGACCATGCGTTGGCTGTCAGGATGCCCGCGTAGCACGCATACATACAGTGGGCCTATCCGGGTTTCCCGGGCCCAGTGGTCAGAGGACTGCTCCTGTGACCCAGAGGGAGGCCATGCCCTTGGGCTGGGTCGCCGAACCAGACGGCGAATTCAAAGGCAGAGCGTACCCGTGTACCCACCGCTGCGGGTGCCGATTGGCACTGCGCTAATTCCGCAGCCGGGTGATCACTTCCCAGTTGCTGTCATTCTCTGGGCGGAAGCCGGTCGATGAAAGGCCTATCGAAGTGAGGCTTGAACCCAAAACATCCCATCCGTATTGGCACGAGCAATAATCAACTGCGCCACCGGGATGGTCGTTCTACCATCTTTTTGCTGTCATTGCAGTTAACTGCGTTCCGAGTTGTAGAGCTGAGTGAGTATGCACGTAAAAAGTGCATGTAAAGCTAATTGGCCTGATCAAAGCCGGTTTAAGCTCCAATCATCCGTAAGAGTGCCTTACAAACGGCAATGCCGCTATTTCGCCCTTCTGACTGCCATAATCTAAACCATCCGCCTTACTTGATAGGTCCAATGGGAGGTTCAGTGGATGTGTCGCTAACTGAATATTCACGTCACTGTGCGACATTGGTACCGCTCGCCCTGACGGCGTGCCGAGATCGTGCCTGGTGGCGCGGCGCGCTGATGGTGGACTAGGGGCCGCTACCAGCGCCAACAGGCTCCAGCAGTGGCATGGAAGGCAACGCCTGACGTCCGCTACTGACCATGACGGGCCTCATTACTTCATGATTTCATGATACCGGGGTCTAGAATGGTGTCGAATCTAGACATATCCCCTTTTATGAATAACACCATTTTCGTGTGAAATATTGCTCAGCGCAACTCGTAAACGACGCTCACGAATACAATGCTTTTTCAAACGAATTTTTTGACTAGCTTATCTGTTCCGCAGGCTCCATGCTGGGTGTACCTTTATACCGACTCTCACTGAATCTGTCCCTGTGCTCTGCAGCACAAGGGCTCGAAAAGTTGGCGACAGGTCGTGTAGGGCAAACGCATGCTTTCCGAGGAATGGCTGGTTGACGCAGAGCTGCCCAGCACATTATTCGGGCAGGAAAATTACGCACAGCAGACATATTTTCGTCTTTTTATCCTACTTTTACGATTCACGCCGTGCTGGTGAATCACATGAGGAACTGCAAAACTGGCCAACATATTCAACTGCACTGAAACCCTTTCTCAAAAATGGGTTCCGCCAAATTCCTGGCGCAACACGTTCTAAGCCAGAGGCCGTGTCGCCTGACAACACTGGGTGCTATGAACACAAAGTTTAGAATGGGGCCTTGTTCTGAAACCGAACAGCCTTTACGCATGTACATACGTGCGCGAAAGTTTTCCCGTGGAATGATTCATGATGCATGACAGTGATTGCAGGATAACAGTGTCTGAGATGTAAACAAACCAAAAACAATCATACTGGAATAGCGAGAACAGTCTGATAACAACACAACCCAGCTAGCCATTTAATACTCACAAAGGGTCTTCCTCATTTCTTTTCGGTATTCTTCATCCATGATGACCACGCCCAGACCGGGAGCGTACGTAGTCAAGTCTAAAAAAAGACACATAGCCTCATGAGCCCAACAGGTGTGCTGCACCAGGAGCTGTACACATCCCCGTACCGCACCTGTCATAAGTACAGGAAGCGTCCTGATGTTCGATTTACACGGGCATTATCCTCTGGAAACCGCAGAGATTGTATGTTTAGTAAGCTCAGGAGTATCTGACCTCAACCAAAGCTGTGTTTAGCTGACTGAGACGACTGCGTGAAGGGCATCTTCTGCAGAAACAGGTTGCCATCAGGTGACTGACCTTTGAACCTGAACGAGGCCGGGTCGATCTGAAGATTGCCTATCCGGTTGAAGTAGACGTAGTTCTTGCCGAGTTTGGTGACCACCTCGGTGGTGTTCGGCATCTGGGGCGAGACACTGACCGCGAACCGGATCCACAGTCCCTTTTCCGTGTCGTTCCAAATGTGCTCCATCTCGGCCGTTACATTCCAATCCTTCGGCGGGTACTTCTTTATCAGCATATCTTTGATCTGCGCCCAAATTGAATGCCGTTAGTAGGGACTATTTAGTAGCAGCACCCACTTGAAGGGTGAAACCAATGGGTAGGTGGTCCATACTAAACGATGAATAGGCGATCCATACTAAACGATAGATGAGTGATCCATACTAAACGATAGATGAGTGATCCATACCAAAAAATGAATAAGGTAAGCTCAGCATCAATACCATGTCTACATTCGTGTCCATTGTCACTCGCGCGGTGTCGAGATTTTTGCTCAACCAAGGCCTATCCTATCAGCAAAGCACTGGAAGATCGATTCTTCTAGAAGTGCTGGCGCACTGAAAAGAGGATTTTGACGCGGTTTTAAAGCTATCTTGCCGTGTCGCGATGTCGAAAAGCTACAGAATGCATTTTCCCAAAAAGCTTTGTCATGATCACAACGTGGTCGATTCACCGGAGACAAACAGATACGGGACATATGGGTCATAAGCGTCGCAATCCACGGACCAAATGTATTCAAAACTGTTCATATTTGGCTGTGCTCATGCTCGAATCACAATGTACAGCACACCAACGGGCACGCCGTGGCCAGTTTACTGTACACAAACGAGAAAGAAAGGCGTTTAGGCGTTAACCGCGGCCTAGCGGTTAGCAAAGGTCGACATTTGTCGTTTTGTCTGCTGACCTGCTACAAAAATTTTGTCCGATTGTAACAAAAAGGCCCATCATCCGACGCACGGAAAGGCGATCTACTGCAGGCAACTAAGTTTCAGGCATGTGGGTCATGAGCATCATGCCTCATGGGTCAGCAAAGTTCATAGCTGTCCACCCTCAGCGGCTAACGGGCTATGAAAACGTTCTAGGACGACTTCATCAGTAACAAGTGAGTCAGACTAGCTGAGCAAGTGACAGCTGGCCCAATGACATCTGACCCATTGACAACTGGGCCACGGGCAAAATTGGGCCAGGAGCAACTGAACCACGACAGCTCATTTGCTCATTGGCAACTAAACCAGAACGACGAAACCAGTGGCAACTGAACGAAAACAAGAAAATCAGTGACAACGGACCCAGTAGAT